GTGAGAGAGCGAGAGAAAGTGAGAAAGCAAGTCACCAGGTCTGGGACTCGAACCGCTGTTGGCCATGTGGGAGTCCAGCACCCTTAACCACCACACCAGCCCCGACTTCTTTTTTAAATTCTGTTTTATTCATCAGGGGAGGATATATCCCCTATGGAATCGTCACCTGCAATCTACCCCCAGCCTCAGCCAGCCTCAAACACAGGCACATATGTGCACCTGAGTGTATGAAGGGTGTGCACACATGTGCACCTGTGTGCACACGAGGTCTCAGAACATTACCAACCTTTTCAAGTGAGTCCAGTGGGCAGAGTGTCATGTGACCACTGGCTTTTTTGTTGTGTGTGTGTTTTTTTTTTAATAATTGCCTTATTTAATCTTATTTATGTACTTCTTTTAATTCGATCAGAGAGGGACAGAATGAGAGAGAAAGTGAGAAAGCAGGCTGCCAGGTCCAGGACTTCAACCACAATCGACCATGTGGGAGTCTAGCACCTTAACCACCGTGCCTCTTGTTTTTCTTTTCTGTGTTCTCTTCTACAGTAGAATTTCGATGGGAGGATTAATAGTGGCAAATTTTATTCCTTCAGCCACTTGGTGGGAAAGTGGTTATCTATAAGGTCCACATTTTTTCAATAATTTTTTTTTCTCCAAATAAATGAGCTCTCCTTGGATTATGGCCACTTCCCTTGACACTCAGCCCCATCACCCATGAGTCTAGCCAGTGCTCCCAGCACATTCTCTGATGGGACTACAACCCGGAGAGGTATTAGTGACTTTGAAAGGACCCCAGCCCCACCTGGCTTTGCTGAGGTGTGGTGCAGGGCTCAGGAGGAGGCTGCACCCTCCGAGTGCACGTGGTGCCCTAACTTTCCACGCGTGAGGCAGAGAGGGACAGTTCCTTTCTGTCTTCTCTCACTTTGTGGAAGTAATTAGGCTAAAGAGAGAAATGATGAAATACTGCATATTGTCTAGCAATAGCTTTATCTTAAAAATATGCTGCTTAGAAAGTATTTCAACTTTTCGTGACTAGTAATATAGGATGTTCAAAATTAGTAATGAGAACTTTTTTATAGACCAAAGAATTACATAAGCAGTAATTATCATGCATATTTTTTATAATTAGTTTTGCTATAGGGTACATGCGCTGAAGAGAGACATAGAGCGAGCGACAAAGTGAGAATGTGATGCCACGTCCCTGCTGGTGGGGTTGTGAGCGTGTATGCACTGGAGTGTTTTTTTTTTTTTTTTTTTTTTTTTTTTTTTTTTTTTTTTTTTTTTTTTTTTTTTTTTATTT